TTACTTTCACACTGCATGGATTGACTGGTGTTCTTTCACTGCAAATTTATTCAGCAAGAATAATCGTCTTCCAATAAAAAAAGTCAAATTTGGGGGTTTTACGTGCCGAACCTACGACGGGCATCTGGCACGCCCCAGCGGAGGACTGAGGATTAATTTGGACCACCTGGGGATCTTTTGACGTGCAACCGAAAGCTCGGTTACACGGCGCCTCCTCCGCAATAAGCCTCCGTCAGATTGCGGAAACCTCGGCCGGGATTCGAACCCGCCACATGGGGATCCGTAGGCTAGCGCTCTCGTCTCGGAGCCACCGAGGCGGCTAATAATCGTCTTCCAGATTTGTAGTGTGTTAAATGACTAGGAGTCATTACTTGCTTGTTCTATTTGTTTCGTAGTTTTTTTTTTTTTTTTTACCGAATACACGTTAATGAAAATATAGAAAGATCTGCGACTCCTTAGGCCCGAGCGCCTTGAAACCTCTTAAAATCTCTATGACAGAGACAGCACACTGACATGCTGGCGCCACTATGTGGTGACCCTGGAACTGCATTTCACTAGAGCGAACATTTAACGGTATTTGTAAAGTCGAATGTTCCTTCAGAAATGTTCGCTTATATCATTGACAAAAGGTTGTCGAACCAAGAAAGAAAGAATGATCAGCAAAACACACAGAACATAAATGCGATTGCCATGCGTTCCACTGCTGCCCGATAGGTGGCGCCAGTGTGTCCTCTCGTCGTAAGAGATGTATAAGAGGTTTCAAGATTCTCAGTTCTAAACAGTCGCAAGTGTGGGAATGATTATTTAGATGTTTTGTGTGCTTGCGCCAGCTCAAAAACATTTAGGGCGTTTTTTTGTGTGTGTGTTTTTTTGTTGTTTTTTTTTACAACGAATTAGCGGTGGTGTCGTTTAGGTATTCACAGCAGAGAGGAGACATGCTCTTCTTGCGACACGTACAAAAAGGCCTTATCGAACAAACAACGCGCTGACTACGTATCTGCGAAGGCTGTGCAAACTAAATGCGTGGAATTAGTTTCTTGCGTCTTTTGCAATATTTTACGTTTCACGGCGCGATTCATACCTGTTTCGACATGAAGCGCCACGAAGCGCTTTTTGCATTTTGCTTGGTTGAAGTAGAGTAACGACTTTGGGGAAGTATTTTGTATACCTTTATATTGTGTTCGTGTTTAAGGTGAACTTTATGCGTTTCGTTATTTTTTGTTAACATAATTTAGTTGTCATTTTTTTAAAGTTTAGAAATGAGAGGAATGGAATGAAACAGTTCAGCAATTGAAGGAGCGGGAATGGACCCAGCGTCTCCATTCCTTTGAGTTGAAAGCGATATAATTATCAGAAACCGTAATTACCCGCAATAAATATGTAATAGAATGGGAATGCCCATTCGGCAAAACTGGTACACGATAACCCTTTTTTTTATCGTAAAGTGCTGAAAAGCGAAGTGTTTTATATAGGAGAGTGCGCTGAACAATTTCATTCCTAAATGTAAAGATTGCTCTGTCTTCGATTCTTCTCCGGTCGGTTTTTGATGTCACGATTTTGGATTATAAAAACGCTTCCAGTGGCATCATTTGTTGTTTGGACACCTAACTCTCCTTATTTAACTTACCTTGTACTTTTCTATACACATATGTATGTGCTGCTTGCTATTAAATAGCGTGAATGTGCCTAACTTTTATTTTGCATATAATTTGGAAAATATATCATGTATTTTATAAGGTTCCGGGGTTGGCGATTCTATGAGTTTATAGATTAGTATCAAAACCAAATTTCGCGAAGACGTGATTTTTTTTTCATTCTTCTTGCTGCATTTGGTTGATTGGCGTATTTGGCATTTAAATTAAGAACCCAACGTAAGTAAAGATTAGTCGTAAGTCAGCAGTGTGGTGTGTTCATCATTCTGTCCTGCGTTCTTCACGCTTTCTTATGCTCTTCGTATGCTGGTAGTAGCTATAGAGCTTGATTAATTAAGAGGGTAAGCTATTACGCGGGGGGGGGGGGGGGAGTGGCAAATTCCCTGTAATGCAAAAAGTACAAGCACCCATTTGCACAAATATGAAAAAAAAAATATTCCGTGGTTCAAATTACACGATCGAGAGGACAATATTAAAATGCCCACTTCAGTGTAGAAGATTTCCACTTAATTCGTGTTGCTAAAACATGTGTATTACCGTAGCCTCCTTTATACTGAAAATGCCTGCCCAATGGTTGCTTTGTCGTCGTGGCGCCTACTTCACATATCTGCTACTAGGGGCGCCAAAACCCTATGCCGAAATGCAGATGATGCTTGTCCGCTGTCTGCTGCTACAGTTTACTGTAGCTTGTGTAAGCTACATTATCCGTTAATATACGTGATAACGTAAGTTTTCCCTGTTAGGTTACGCGGGAACGTGGCCTTACGTGTTCAGATAGGTCACTTGATCACTTAATTTTTTGTGACACGAGTAACTTCTGTCGGTCGTCGTTCGACACGCAGAGCTCTAGAGCGCTTAGCAATAGCCGTCATAACCCAATAGCATGAGTCTGTCTGCGGCTCGTGGCACGCACACCGTGACGCCACACGTACACGCGCGGTCATTTTATTTCTTTTATTGGTCGTGAGCACTGCAGCACCTTGTACTTAGTCCCGACTCCTTGTGCTGCATTTTAAGTCGCATCTCAGATTACTGTTCTGTGCCTATTTGTAACTCGTACTCGCGAGTTGCACTTTCTGGTGGTTATTAAGCAGGCTTCAATGGCTCCTAGTGATTCCCTTCTCAGGCACCATGATAGGGGAAGACTATACTATCCATCAAAGAAGTAGTGAGGGCGTTGTATGCGCTGAAGAACTTCCCTATTGAAAATTCCATCAAGGTACGTAATTTGGGACACTGACTGCCAGTCAGCAGCCTTGGTGGAACGTGATGGACCATCAGACGTCATCTGATGGTCCATCAGATGACGTCTGACTGCCACTGCCAAAGGAATCTCATCAACAAGGGCAGCATTTATATAAGAGTAAAGCTATACGCACTCAGAAATATCGCCAAATGCCTCGATAAAACAAAATGTTCGAGAAAAAAAACGAAAAAAAAAAGCAGAACCACCGTGGATCGAACCCGCGACCCCTTGCGTACAAATCGGACACCGTAACCGCTATGCCACGCCGTGTCATAGAGAACTAGATTTCACCATCCGCTTTATACGAGATGCTTCGGTTGCAAATGCAGTTAAGACTTCCGCATGTTATGCAAAGCACTCGTACATCACTCGCCGTACTTCAGTTCTACTCACCTGCCATGTAGAGTACTTTCGCGCCGTAGAACGATCCTTTTGTTCGCGCGTCTCCGGCCCAGTAGACCTGGTACACCTTGTCGTCTTCAACTACGCCGCTAAAGTCCCTTACATCGTCGGAACTCACAACAGGCTGGGTCTTGTCGAGTAGAAATTCTACTAAAACATAAAACACTGTAGGGCCCGTGCAGGATCGACAGGTTGGAGCAAGCGGGCAAACAAAACGAGTCGAGAGCGATCGTTCATGAAAGCTCGGCGAAGCCTCTATGGGCGAAGCGAAGTCAGTGAAGTGGCGTTTTCGGCGTTTCGGCGGGCTTCTGATCAAGGTTGTCGGTCGGCTGCGTGTCATATCCCTAACATCAGCGGTTTTTTGGGCTCACGTCCCGAAATCGTTTTCTTGTGCATAGACTATTTTTCGTATTCATAGATTTGACGAAATAGTGGTATCCGAACGAACTTTACGTCCTTTGACCGTACGTCTGTCCGCACGTCAAAGCTTTTTGACGTACAGTCAGAGCCCATCGATGTACAATCAGAATCGCCACCAAGACATCTTGATGGCATTTCGCGGCGGCCAACTGCCACCAGGAAACCATCAGAAAGCCGACAAGTGGAGTCTGACTGGAGTTTGACTGTCGGTCAGAGCAACTTCTTGGCCAATCAGACATGTTTGACGTACAGTCAGGCACAGTCAGCGGTCCACTAGAAAACGTTGACTGCCAAGCAGGGTTACATTGATGGATTTTTCCTTCGGGTTCGTAGAGATTTTACTGCAAAAACGAAATATGCTGAAAAAAGGCCTTTGCATGCAGCTGCCGAGAGTGCGGTGGATACAATTAGGCACCATGGGGCTCTGAAATACGCAAAGGCAGAGAAATATTTCAACAATTACAAAGATTTCCTACAACTTCTGTGTACTAACACAGAAGTTCACAAATTACTCGGCATCCGTGACTAATAAGAATGACCTAACAAGATCTCCAACAAGCTACTATCTAGGAAGTCGTTAAAGCTCTATAACTGCATACGCGAAAAACAGTGCGGACCACAAGAGACCTGTCAAAAACATGAATGGGCTGTGCGCTTAAAAAACAAATTGAAAATATTTCTCCAGATACCCGGTCAGAGCGCTGCCAACGGGTGCGCAGGTTTTCGGTTAGCGGGGACGCGTTCGCGATCCTGAGAAAAACCATTTGATTGCCTCATGCGGTCCACGGGCCGAATGTTTTGCAGCTCTGCTCCAGAAACAATAAAAACATTAAGTGGTCCCTGTTTAAAGGTTGTGAAAGTCCGCCAGCCTGTCTATCTCCATTTTAATTTGCATTGACGATTTCTGTTGTCGATATGACAAGCGCCAGAGGTTTGGTAACATTTCAGCATAAAAACAAAACCAAGACGTGAAAGGTAAAATAAAGGTGTAATACTTGTTGTATATATGAAATCTATGATGACGGTGCCCTGCGCTTGCTATGTAGCACGGGTTACGAATGTATTCAATTCACAAACGGCATCACAGTGGACTGTAGCAGCGGGCAGCGAAGAAGAGTCGTCTGCATTTTTGTGTGGGGTTTTGGCGCCTCTAGTAGCAAATATATAAAGCAGACGCAACGATGACGAAGAATGGGGCACCCAACTATCCCGCAGGCATTATCAGTATAGAGGATGCTATGATATTACAGACACGATTGCGTTAAAATATTTTGTGTTACCTTTCATTTCCAGTTTGTAGGCCACCGTGTAGTCCCGAATGTCTTCACTATAAAATGAAGAACAAATACAATTTTATGTGTACTTTTAAATTGATCACATTTTTAGCATTAAGTATTTTGAATACACCAACCTTGTCAGTAGGTAGACAACATCTGCGTCTTGAAATCTTGTGTCATTATTTACCCACCGGTTAAATATACTAAGTGTGAATGTAGGGTCCAGTTTTTTGGTCGTTTCATTTTTAAATGTTTTATATTTCTTGAATTGTTCTTCTTCCACACTCTGAAACAGGTCATTTTGCATTAGTATAAGTTTATTTTTTTTTAATTACAGTAACTCCGTCATGGGTAATGCTATTTATCTTTGACACTACAACGTATCGTGTCTGTATTTTTCAGCACCGAATTATTGTGACTTCATTAGAAGTATCTTTATATAGATTGGTTTCAGAACAAACGCCTTGAATATGATGCTGGAACAATAGTTAGTATTATTACGAAGTTGCTGTGCTCACAGTATGAAGGTAACAATTTCTAATATTGTAATTTGAGTGTACTGTCTTTGAAACAATGTGAAACGCTAAACTATTTTAGATTGCCCTTTTTACACTTCGGCGTATCAAAACGCGTTATTAAGAGTGACCCGCACGAAGCGTTGTTTTTGCTCCTGAAAATCCTACGGCCGACGAAGGGGCACGCGAGCACCGACGCAGGTCAGTGCAGAGCTCAAGTTACTCTACTTCTTTTCCAATGGTTATAGTGACATCAGAAAGACGCCGAGCTCTGACTGGCTCCGGTCGAAGTATAGTGGGTAGACCTTACGGAAGCCTGCTTCCAGCTCTATCCACCATTCTTCAATCCGACCCAATCAGAGCTCAGTGTTCTGACGCCCCCTGCAACAGAAGCATACGAACTAGCAATCCGCATACCACCTATTTTCGTGGGCAACTGAAGTCGCCCGATCATAGAAAAGTAGCGCAAATATCCCTTTATGGTCACCATTGTGGTCCGTAGAATGAACTGTTTGCATTTGGCCTCTACATCCTAATGAAGAGCCTTTATATTGAATGCAACATTTGCATTATAAATTCTTTGTTTTGTATACCAATATTTCGTTATCCACACACCAGCGAAGCAACTGCACAACCTAACTCAGCCACGACTTGCGGCGTCAGTGCTTGGCGGCATCTAACTTTTTCTGTCTCGAATTATGCAAGAATAACGACATCATTGTAAGAGATATGTAGAGATAAGGTTGATTGATAAATTGATTGCATCACAGTGCTTAAGACGCTTATACACCGACAAGGGGACCTGACGTCACGCCGCTGAGGTGGCGCTACTATAGACCTATCTCACTAAGCGTTCCGCGCATGCGTGACGCCGCCACTAGTTTAGTGCATGGGCAGCAGGCGGCCGTGCATTCAAGGGCTCGTGCCGTCTCGTGCTTCACATGAGCAGAGCTGCAGGAAGCTTGTTGGACGTGCAGAAACACTAAAGAGCCCTTGATGCACTGGCTGGCTGGTGGTATCGGCTGGTGGCATCGGCTGGTGATATCGGTCTATTGGGAGGGCGAATGCGGAGACGCTTTCAAATGACCGAAATGGCAATTACCATGGCAACGAGTACCCCCCAGCCAATCGCCTTGCGCGTTTTTGATCGTGTGCATGTTATAAAAAAAGCGCATAGCTTATATTTGCGTTGTCATATCGCCACGCGCATATGTCTTTCTGTATTGATTGCGCGTGACGTGCATCTGATGGTAATCGGTCCTGTCAGCAAAAGGCACACCGTTGTACTGTCGTCTTGTTGCGCGCGCTGGGACTGGTGTGTGAGACGACGGCGACGATGTCTGTGTGTGACGGTTGGAAAGCAATGCTTTCGACCTTGTATGTATAGCGTTCTGGCTGGATGTCTGAATGAGTAAATGGTTGACTCAAACTGAGTTACCTATCTACAACCGGTACCGTTTATTAATGTCCTGTTAGCAGGCAGGGAAAGGCAATAGCGATAATTTTTCAGAATTCAGAACTTTATGTGCAACTATAAACGCTTTGCACCAGACGTGCATGGCAGCCACCATTCTCGTTCTTTTGTTGGTGTTTTCTTATTTTCATTCGCTTTACTTCATTATTACCATAGCAGGCCAGGCTATTGCTCTGTCATCTTAGAGTTTACTGTGCCCTCCCCAGCACTGGTATTTTATAGGCACTCGTGAATGCCCGTTTCGGTGCCTTAATATCTCGGTAAGACAAGGTCTCCCGTGGCAGCCCTAACCTGCCGCGTTTATAAAGTGTCTATGCGTGGATTGTACGAGAATAGGCGGGAAGAAGAGCGTGGCCAGAGCTTTGATCGGCGATCAGTTCGGTAGAGAACTCGCGTGTCTATGCACTTGACTGCATTGTCATAGAAAGTTGCTCCTAAGCATAAAAGACAAAGACTGAGTATGATTTCATCCTTAGTAAATTCCCAAAAATTTCAAAGCAACAAAAAAGGTGAAGCATGACGAATGACACCGCATAGCGGTAGACCTATCCATCTTGGTGCCGCGGCGAGCTGGCGTCGCACTCGTTGCCAGACGTTGCACGGACACGCCGACATTGACACTGAACTGCGAACTAGGCCGCCCTGTTTGTAGCACCCAGCGATGAGGTATGGTGGGGAGGGCGGGGGGGAGCGTATCTATTGTCTTCTAGGTGTTACTGCGTAGGCGCACCCGCAGGCACCAACAGAGAGTAGCCACCACCGGCAAGCTCTCAAGAATTGCTAGACGACACAAACTGCAACCCTCGTAGATATTATGAACACAGATATAATACAACAATTCTTACATAGATAAGTAAAGTTTTCACGTGAACTTGCCGGTCATAGCATACTTTGTTTTGTTTTTAGAGACAGTAATAATTGGAAAGTTTTTATTCGGTTAGGAGTTTTCCGGCAATCCGGAAAGGTAAGCAGTAAATAACATAAATGCCTGTTGGGCCGTATCTAATGTTTTGGTTAAGAGATAGTGTCGCGATAAAACAGAGAGGTTCTGACAATATTTAAATGGAGCTTTTGGGCGAGGGTGAGGGGATAATAATTCCGGTGATGACCGGCCCAGTGTTTTTAGTGAGCTGCTCGATGTGCCGGTCTTTGTTCCAGCTGTTATCAGGACTTACAAAATATGATGGCGGGGGCCATGAGATACGCCATCTCAAGCCAGAGAAGTGCCCCTGGAAGCTACTAAGAGAGAAACAGCGCCAAAAGTACGGAGGACAAAGAACGAGGAGCACACAAGCCGAGTGTTGACAGAGAGGGAAACGGCGCCAGAAGTACGAAGGACAAAGAACGAGGAACACAGCGCTCGGTATTTGTGTTCCTCGTTCTTTGTCCTCCGTACTTTTGACGCTGTTTACCTCTTCATAACTATGCATAAACAACTCGCTTAATTTTCGACGGCGCCCCTGGAAGCGCCAAGGCTGGATTCCGGAAGCGTACCCGTCCGCTAATTAGGGCTTAGTATGATTGAGATGCTGAATGATCTGCTTGAGTCGAATCAGTTCCCTCTTTCTGAAGGCCCGTCGCCTCCCGTAAACAGCTCCTAGATAATAATGTCCAAGGGCTAAATCTTTTTGCGTCACTAAAGGAGGCCACCGTAGACCACAGATTGGACACCACTTTGGCATCAAGTTTTGGCTATTACTCATGTCGAACCTTCGGGAGCACGACTCCTAGCCAAACGCTGGCGCTGTAGTCGTCTCAAAACTCTGGCCTACGGTGGAGTACTTTGGAAGCCAAGGAAGATTCAGCAATTCTAATTTACGCTCAAGATATGTTGGTCCCGTACTTTAGCGGTCAATAGGTGCAGGGTCACTGCCAACAAAGACGACGACGCCTCTCATTGCACTAGGCAGACGGTACGGGAATAAAGCGAATGTTGTTAGTTAAGATCGGAAGTGTTTGTACCCTATATTTTGTCCTCTAACTCGAGCGTGCTACAAACTCGTGCCCGGACTTGATCAGAGAGCGATTTCTCGTCTGAAGGTACCTCGTCCCGTCTTCGCAGGCTTCAGTTTCTGTGAGAACAAACCAGCTGTCCGCCACTTGCGATCAGGAGGCTGCTGATGTGTAGCCTCTAAGTCAGTGGTAAAAGCGTAGGCTTGAGCTGCCAGTTTCCACACTAAACTATGCCATTCGCCGACAAATGGTATCATGCCAAGCTCCAGCATGTGTTTGAATTTCTGCGTTCGATGCTAAGTCACTCGCCGAAGAGTTACTTGCCGAGGTCGCGCAGAGCCTGGAGAACCGCTACCTGCATTGTAATCCGAATCCGAGCTGAAGCGATAGCGTTGTCTTTAATTCCGTGCCATCAGGCTCGTGCCAACGAGTAGCGTCGTAGTCTTTGCTGCGGGGACGCTGAACCAATTGACCGCTACATATAGCTACACTGTAAAGGGCTCATATACTACAAACGTGACAAAGACAACAGTGCAAATTTCTGACCACTAACCTTAATATCTCCTCTAATCTGTTCGTATCTATCCTCTTTCGTTTTATCTTCTCATTCATTTAATTTTATATTTTTCCTTTCGCACGTGGGACAATGTCGGCCTAGTGGCAAGACTAACTCCAGCCGGATTTCCTATTGTTTTAATATAACAATTCATCTCCCTCTCTCTAGCTCTCTGGCGCCCTGGCTAATACCTCAGTGTAAAATATGGCACCCCTGGCTCACGGATAAGCCCAGGACACCAAGGAGCCCATATTCCTACTTTTAGGGCGTATATACAACTGTCTAAAAAAAAAGAACTAATTTGACAGACATCACAGTGAACGAGAGAGCATTATGTCCTAGCGGCGCATGTCGTAAAAATCTTAAGCGCTCAACCCACGTAACCTACTTCCTGCGGCGCCTCCACGCGAGCGACCTTCTCTAACCGAGTCAAAAACAGGCGGGTATAAAAAAACAAGAGCGCGCGCTTGAAAAAAAAAATGACGCCGTGACGACGCCGGCACGCGCAATTCCAAGTCAAAAACGCATCATGAAAGTCAAAATTTTGACTGTCTCCGCCGATAAATTTGTTTTCCCATTGTAATAGTTGAAAACTATCGAGATGCGTTTTTAAGCGTACTCAGACCGGAAGTGTTATAAAACGAAAGAGTGTACAGTTGTCACGATACTCATAACGAAGGCTCGAACGGTGTTTTAATTTATGAGAACGCTAACCTGGGGTGCTATGTTGCGCTTTTTGGACTCCCAGGAGACTTGGAAGAAGGAAGTGACGTCAACGACTAGAGTAA